TAAGTGTCAGTGTTGATCACTACTTAGGAAGGGTTTGTGAAGCACCAAAATGGAACTTTTAAGGTAACAGAAGTGTAGTGGTGGAAATTTATGGAAAAGTTGACCACGTACGAGGCGGAGTTCATGGCGGAAGCCAGATGCCTGCGTTGAACCTGGTGGATAACCTTGAACTTGAAGGAAGAAAGCACTGCAGACAGCCAGGTCTACAATACACGTTACGTTTATCGCGTTGCATTGAATCCCAGCTGTACAGGTGGTCCGATCCTTTTATTACTGTTCTCGTGAATATTTCAGCGTTAGCCTTAAAAAATAAGGACGCTTTAAAAAATCATAGCCACTTACTGTTACCACTTCTTCGAAACAGTATTTCCTTAATACCAGTATCTAGCAAGTCTCGAAATTTTTCAGTTGACTCAAATGCCACAGATGTTTTCTAACTGCTGGAGTCAGAATTCTAATAAGGTTCATCCTTCGCTGTCGGTTGATACATTTCTTACAGCTTTCTCCTCCCTCCCCCCATGTTTTTGTTGAAGAAACGGAGTTGTTTGTTCCGTCGAGTTGGCCAGTCTGGGCTCTGCTGATCGCATCAGCTGTGACGTAGTTTTCACAGATTTCTCTGTTTTTGTGTTTCCTGTAAATTAGTGATTCTGTCTAGGGATTTGCTCTGACGGGTGGGTGGTGGGGGGCGCTTGCAGGAGGCCCCCTGTCCTCCGCTGTCAGCAGCCGCGACGACCAGTGACTGGACCGATAAACTCGCTAGCGGTTGCAGAAAGATGATACTATAATTTCGTCATTCCTTTTTCATTTATTAGCCAGAATATATCCGTCAACAGCAACTTCTTACCGTTGCTCAGTTTGTACAAGAAAGTCCGGACATTTGAATCTTTTATCGGTTTTCAAATAATGACTTGGTTTCTTAGCATCCTCTAGTGATGATCAAAGTGTTTTAATGCACTCATTGATTTAAACGTTTTATGGACGGGTGCCTGCCAGGTGTCTGGCTTCACGTGTGAACACCGCGGAGAAACGTGCATGCAAGGCTGAGGGCCTAATGCCGCCCACGTCCTCCGAAAAGCCCCCTCAAATCACCGTGAACAGCCCCAGATCTGAGGGGAGGCCTCGGTCCCTCTTCCAAAGCCTTTGGGGACAACTCTGTTTTT